TCAGGGACAGGCTGGGGTACTCACCTGAAGCAGCTACAAGAGATTGTCTCAGAACAATTTACAGCTACACATGAATGTCCTGGAGTTGAGAGCCATCAGCCCAGCCTGGCTAGCATTTCTGCCTGTTCTGCAAAACTCCACAATGCAAATTCTGATTGACATGGCTGCACTTCACTATGGAAACAAACAAGGAGGCACTCAAGCATTCCCTCTGTGCCAGGAAGCCATCAAGTTCTGGAAGTGGTGTCACCATCACAGGATAACGCTGCTGGCTCTACACATACCAGGGGTCAGCAATTACTGAGCAGATTTCTCAAGCAGACATGCAGTGACCATTTGCAAATGGTTACTGAATGGGTCTGGCAAGCAGCTAATGTCTATCATGGGAGAGCGGGGGTGGTGGTAATTGTCCTTTAAACTTCTGCTCAAGCAGAGATGAGAGCTTAGTCTTGTTGCCAGATATGTATCCTTGAGACCACCAAAGAAAACTATCCTCCTGCCTACCAATTGCCCAGATCCCTAAAATAGTATACAAGATCAGGCAGTCATCCTGATAGTCCCTTACTGGCTGAGACAGTTTTGGCCATCAGACCTGCTACAGCTGTCCATGTGGCAACCTATCTCCCAACCAATCTAGATGTAATATCCCAGAACTAAGGTCAACTCCTGTGCCCAGACCCGCAGTCACTGCATCTGACTGCTTTGATGTTGGCTGATTGACCACTACTAAAAGAGAGGCATTCAGAAAATTCTCATCCAAAGCAGGAAGTCCATCCACCAGGAAGATTTACCTTCCAAATGGAAAAGATTTTTCCACACGGGTGGTCCAAAAGAACATGGACCTAGTACAGGAATATACACTGACAATCCTTGATTATATGCTGCTACTAAAACAGGATCAATTCATATTTAACACTCTCAAGGTCAACCTAGCAGCAATATCTGTGTGCCACACACTGGTACAGTCACAAGAGACATTCTCTCATCTAACAGTATTGAAATTCCTTTAAGATCCTCCTTCATTCTAGCCCTCAGGTTAGATAGGTTATGCCCTTCCATAGGGACACGGTAGTGGTCAGGACACAGTCCAAGGTCATAGACTCTAAGGTCAGAAGGGACCATTATGATCATCTGGTCTGACCCCCTGCATGCTGCAGACCACAAAACCGTCCCTACCCTTCCTTGACTCTGCTGATGAAGTCCCCAACTCCTGTGTCTTAGTGACTTCAATTGGCAGAGAACGCTCCTGCTAGCGATCCCTGCCCCATGCTGCGGAGGAAGGCGAAAAACCTCCAGGGCCTCAGCCAATCTACCCTGGAGGAAAATTCCTTCCCGATCCCAAATTTGGCGATCAGTAAGACCCCGAGCATGTAGGCAAGAGTCTCCAGCCTGACCTTTGTTAACCATTATACTGTTTACCTACCATTGCTTGATATTCCTCAGTT